CATGGTCTGTGACTGTATGTGTGTGTCACAATGTGACGTGTGTTTGTGTTTGTGTAACACTGTGACATGTGATTGTATGTGTGTGTGACAGTGTGATGTGTGACTATGTGTTTGTGACAATGTGGTGTGATTGTATGTTTGTGTAACACTGTGACGCCTGACTATGTTAGTGTAACAATGTGATGTATGACTGTATCTGTGTGACAATGTGATGTTTGACCGTATGTGTGTGCGACAATGTTATGTGTTACTGTATGTTTGTGTGACGTGTGATGTGTGACTGTATGTATGTGTAACAATATGATGTGTTACTGTATGTGTGTGTTACGTGTGATGTGTGACTGTATGTATGTGTAACAATATGATGTGTTACTGTATGTTTGTGTTACGTGTGACTGCACCATGTGTAACAGTTCCATGTGTGACCGTTATGTTCCATTGCGCGACGGTGTCATTTCGTAGTCACATAACCCAACACAACAGCGTTTATTCGCATTGCTGGATTAATATAACACCCTTATCTGATATATCTGACAACAGGCATCTTCAAAGACTGCAGAGTCTCCGTGCAGAAATCCCGAGGTGGACAGTTTCTGAAGCAAGAATTACATCAAAGCTGGGTCGGTGAATCTACTGACTCCACGTGACACCGAAGCTCCTGTCAGCGTGTTATCTGAATATCAACCCCTGCCATCAATCATTCTTATCATTCTTTCAGGCGGCGCTGGTGCAACGAAAGAAAGGACAAGAGTGACAGTTTTAAGTGAGAGAGTGATTGAGTGAGGGAGAGAATGAATGAGATCTAGGGTTTAAAAGAAAAAAATGAAAGAAAAAATGAACACTAAGAAAAACTGAGAAATGGGGGTGGGTGTTGCTCAACAGGGGATGTATCAGCATCAGGTGAAGTTGGCCGCTGATCGTGTGACAACGAACCGGCTTAATCAAACTAATGGTTAATGCCACTGTGTTGTCACTGAAGAAATGCTAAAACCTCTTTTGATATCAGTTATTATTCGACTCATAAATAAATTAGATTTGTTAAATAACCGCGCAATTCCTGATTATGACAAACATGCACATCTGGCTTGGCTATTTCAGATAGAAGCATGAAACTGGAATAAGTAGACGTGATATTGCGTAAGAGAGAGAGAGAGAAAGAGAGAGGGGTGGGGCGAGAGCTGGAGAGAGAGAGAGAGAGAGAGAGAGAGAGAGAGAGAGAGAGAAAGAGAGCAACAGGGATAGGGGAGAGAGCAGGAGAGAGCGAGAGAGAGAGGAGAGGGCTAGCAGGAGAGAGAGAGACAGAGAGAGAGAGAGACAGAGAGAGAGGGCGAGCTATAAATAGATAGAGATAGAGAACGAGAGACCGAGAGCAAGCGATAGATTAAGATTATGACGGGAGTATAAAATGACTTAAAGAAACTCTCCAGCATCGTGACAACTGAGATTAGAGGGGAGGGGGTGGTACCTGGGTGTGATAGCATGCACACAGAGTCAGGAACAACCCTGTAACGTTTTGCCACAAAATCAATAACAAAAGCTTTTACCGAAATTACCCGAGTCAACTTAAGATTCATACAACCTCGCGACAGCGATTTGGTTTCTATAAAACAAAAACATATCACTATGGCAACCCAGCTGGAGATATGTCTTAACCCACCTGAGCGGGGCTGTGTTTATATATACTGAAACAATATTTCCAGTCAACATACATCAGGAATGGCACTTCTGGTTCCGTCTGTCAGCGTTGATTAAGTTATGCCGTGCACAGCTGAGTGCTAACTTGAATCCTTTTTACTGGTACGGAAACATCAACACACTAGAATAAAACCACTTTCATCCCCTAACACGTGTGCGTAGATAAACTTGCGACCAGACAGTGTCTTAAAGTGTACCTTAAGCTGCTGATAAAAAACATCTTCCAAAATTAGAGTGTAATAGAGATATACGCAATAGGACCTCTTTACACTAAATCCCCAACACCCAGGCCTAACAGTGAGACTTAAACACCTGTATCCGTGACGTGTATGACGCCGTGCCACAAGGGGGCGTTGTAGGAGCAACCGGTGCCAGAGAATGGTGGCTAGTTATGGCTCTTCTAACTCGCCATCACACAGTCTAATGAAGCCATTTACCTAATATTCAGGAGATTTATTCAGTATAGAATTAAGTTAGGCCCGAGTCCTACACAATCGATCGTTATTATGACTCCCATGGTTCAACTGCTGGGAATATCTACCTTACCACCTCAGAGATACCTAGGACCTCTCAAAAGTGTGCCTGCCTGTGCGTGTGCGCGAGCGTGCGTGTGCGTGTGCGTGTGCGTGTGTGTGTGCGTGTGCGTGTGTGTGTGCGTGTGCGTGTGCGTGTGCGTGTGCGTGTGTGTGTGTGCGTGTGTGTGTGTGCGTGCGTGCGTGCGTGCGTGCGTGCGTGCGTGCGTGCGTGCGTGCGTGTGTGTGTGTGTGTGTGTGTGTGTGTGTGTGTGTGTGTGTGTGTGTGTGTGTGTGTGTGTGCGAGCGTGTGTGTGTGACGTTTGCGTTCACGTGTGGCGCATTTGCATTGCCATGAGGGGTAGCTTGTAGAGTAAGGTCATTATGTCTACACATTTGAAAATAAAAAAACGTCAATGCCAGAACATACCCAGTCCCGATTATCCATCGAGTCAGATTCCAATGTGCAAAATATAGCAAAATAGCTGTGAAAATTACATGAATCGTTAATCGGTATAAAAAAATCAGTGATAACACCAGGTGTTCGCGAAAAGGGGAAGCGTGTCCTGTCATACCGAAAGCACCCGCCACTCACTTACTTTGCATACGAAGGTGAATGGTTGTAACACGTGCAAGTATTACGTGTAGGTGAAGTAGTCACGCATCCGGCACAAATTGTCTGTGGCTATATATCAGCTGTATCAGTAGATATGTAAATCTTTATCCGTAGATATGTACCAGCCGTATCAGAAGGTTTGTACCAGCGTTATCAGTTCATATGGAAATCTCTAACAGTAGCTTTGTACCACCTCTATCAGTAAATATATACCATCTGCATCAGAGGATATGTACCAGCTTTATCAGTAGATATGTACCAGCGGATCACTAGATATGTACAGCTGTATCAGTAGATATGTACCATCTCTATCAGTAGACATGTACCATCTGTACCAGTTGTATGAGTAGATATGTACCAACTGTATCAGTAGAAATGTACAGCTGTATCAGTAGATATGTACCATCTCTATCAGTAGACATGTACCATCTGTACCAGTTGTATGAGTAGATATGTACCAACTGTATCAGTAGATATGTACGAGTTGTATCAGTAGATATGTATCAGTTGTATAAGTAGATGTGTATCAGCTGTATAAGTAGATATGTACCAGTTGTATCAGTAGATATGTACAGTTGTATCAGTAGATATGTATCAGTTGTATAAGTAGATGTGTATCAGCTGTATAAGTAGATATGTACCAGTTGTATCAGTAGATATGTACAGTTGTATCAGTGGATATCTACCAGATGTATCAGTGGACGTCGGGGTGTAGGTAATGTCGTAACGGTGTCGGCACTTATGTGGGGTGTAGAGTATGTTGTGACGGTGTCGAGGCAGAGTTGTGTGGGGTGTAAAGTATGTTGTGACGGTGTCGAGGCAGAGTTGTGTTGGGTGTAAAGTATGTTGTGACGGTGTCGAGGCAGAGTTGTGTTGGGTGTAGAGTATGTTGTGACGGTGTCGAGGCAGAGTTGTGTTGGGTGTAGAGTATGTTGTGACGGTGTCGAGGCAGAGTTGTGTGGGGTGTAAAGTATGTTGTGACGGTGTCGAGGTAGAGTTGTGTGGGGTGTAGAGTATGTTGTGACGGTATCGAGGCAGAGTTGTGTGGGGTGTAGAGTATATGTTTTGACGGTGTCGAGGCAGAGTTGTGTGGGGTGTAGAGTATATGTCTTGACGGTGTCGAGGTAGAGTTGTGTGGGGTGTAAAGTATATGTTTTGACGGTGTCGAGGTAGAGTTGTGTTGGGTGTGAAGTATATGTTTTGACGGTGTCGAGGTAGATTTGTGTGGGGTGTAGAGTATGTTTTGGCGGCGTACGTGGGAGGGGTAGATACCACAGATTTAATGCTCATGTCAGCACTGACATAATATAAAGATTGCACTTTCACAAACAACAAAGAATTGAGATTGGTTTGATGCAAACGGGACATTGGTAGCTTCCAGTAGTGCTCAGCTTGACAGACAGGCATTCTCCTCGTAATGTGCGCCATCAGGTAATGGCAGGCCAAATTAAAGCTGTACGCTGGGCTTTCTACCAACCTACAGGGTCACGAAAGTGTTCTGCTTGTCAGTCCAGAATGACAGCAACAATGCGTTAGTCTGCCAGCAATGTGCTGACATTTAACCAACACAGTTCCATAGGAAAGGCCAAATGTAGCTTCTCCTCCACCTTCACACAATCGGTAAGGTGTCCATTTACCCCAGCGCAGGCAAACATGAATAGAGCGTGGATCTTCAACAAATGTAGATGTGTTAGCGTGAACGGAAGATGGCTGAAGAGTGATGTCATCCTTCATATCTTATAGCGGGTCTATATATCAGTTTAAATGTTTGATAAACAAACATAAGTCACAAATGTATGATTCATAACGTTGAGTCATAAATAGGAAGACGGGAAATGTGTAATAAAATATGCGAGTTACACAATGACAACATATTAAGAACATATATGTGCTTATACAAATATTGTTCGCGAGTGCGCTTGAAAGGTTTGGAGTGTCGTTGGTAGGTTGGGATGGTGGGTACGTTAGGGGTGGTGGGGGATGTTGGTTGGGTAGGTTAATTTAAATTGAAGAGATGACAGGATGCTGAGTGAGATAAGGGGTGTCCATCTGTATCTAGTGGTCCGACTGGGCGTATATATACCAGGTACACGCTCAATGTTTACATGGTTTGGATGTTGCAACTGCCCGGATGTGTAGGTGAGTGGAACACCACGTGACAGACAAACTTGCCTTACCTGCATGGGAAGTGATGGAGTACATGATGAGGAAGATGTAGAAGTAGCGCATCCTGCCGCAGACGTAGGGTTGTTGCCGCTGCTCCTGTCGTCGCTGCATGGTGGGAGCTCTTCATCCAGCTCCGATCAGTCTCACACAAGATAGAACGCTATCAAATATTCATCTTTGATTGTAGATTTCGCTCTATTCAGTCCTATGTTGGAGTGTACTGGCGTTGCAATGAGCGCAATCCCTAGTCTCCTTGGTCTGGGGGCGACTGTTGAGGCGCTGCCTGGCGGGGCTGGCTTGGGGGGCGCCAGCACAGAGGAGGGAGGGGGTCGGGACAGGGGGCCGGCTCTTCACAACACGCTCAGCCCCAGTACGATCTCATTGGCGGACCAGTCTGCAGACAGCCTCCGTGATGCCTCTGCTGAAATAAGGAGTAGGGAAAGTGATTGCAGTTCTACCACGCCGGCACTGCCCTCCTAGCTTACAAGAAATTGGCTTCCACCAATAAGCTGGATTTGGTGTGGCGAGATATTGCCTTGGAGGAATGGCCTGAATAATGAATGGTACTACCACTTTTTACATAGACGGAGCTATATGGACAATGCTTTGATGTTCTGTTTTACGTTCGGTGGAATTTTGAAATACTCCTCAATTACACTATGACATTTGAAAATACCACAGCTTGGACGTGCTGTCATCAGCGAGTGTTCACAACAGTGGCGAACAGGGAGGGAGTTCGGTGTGGCGGACTTGGGGCGGTGCGACAGCCAGATAGGTTGCGTCCGCTCCTAGCTTTATTTATTGAGTGATGTGGCGGGAACACACCCACACATCACTCACACATAGTAATAAGTTGTTCATCTATTTCATACACAACGTCCACAACGTCTACATCGACCACAACGTGGGACATAGAGATCGTCACATGGTCAGCGTCCAATCTACCATTCACAATACTATACGGTGATGAAACCGTCTTACAAAAGAGAGTGCACTGCAAATTAACACTGTACAACCATCGACTCCGCCAACATGATGCACAACCACGCCGTAACACACACACACACACACACACACACACACACACACACACACACACACACACACACACACACACACACACACACACACACACACACACACACACACACACACACACACACACACACACACACATGGTTGTGTAAAGGCGGTGTGTTTGGTGTCCATGCTGGTGTCTTATGGTTGTGTACAGGCGGTGTGTTTGGTGTCCATGCTGGTGTCTAGTGGTTGTGTAAAGGCGGTGTGTTTGGTGTCCATGCTGGTGTCTATTGGTTGTGTTAAGGCGGCGCGTTTGGTGTCCATGCTGGTGTTTATTGGTTGTGTGAAGGCGGCGTGTTTGGTGTCCATGCTGGTGTCTTATGGTTGTGTGAAGGCGGTGTGTTTGGTGTCCATGCTGGTGTTTATTGGTTGTGTAAAGGCGGCGTGTTTGGCGTCCAGGCTGGTGTCTTATGGTTGTGTGAAGGCGACGTGTTTGGTGTCCATGCTGGTGTCTTATGGTTGTGTGAAGGCGACGTGTATGGTGTCCATGCTGGTGTCTTATGGTTGTGTGAAGGCGGCGTGTTTGCAGTCCATACTGGTGTCTATTGGTTGTGTGAATGCCGCGTGTTAGGTGTCCATGCTGGTGTCTATTGGTTGTGTTATGGCGGCAAGTATGGTGTCCATGGTGGTGTCTATTGTGTATGATCGTTTATATGGTGCCCATTTTGGTGATGGTGTTTTTTTATAGTGGTGTCTCATGGTTGTGTTATAGTGTATGTGGTAATGCCTGATTGTAGTGTCTATGGGTTCTTCTGTTGTGTCTGCCTGTGGTGTCGGGTGGTTTCTATGCTTTTTTATGTTGACGATGAAATCGTTTATTGTGCTGACTTATGATGGTGCTTTAGGTGGAGTCTATGAATAGTACAAATGATCGACCTGCTTGCAACAGCCATACATGCATTTATCAACAACAATGCACTATAATCCGTGAGGAGAAATGACCAATTAAGATCTGATAATGGCCTATTCACTGACATTCACAGACCAAGAAAAAGATTTGTGACAAGCACAGTGTCCTAATGAACAAATGTACGCGCAATCAGATGGCTCTAGAGGTCAAAGGTTTAGCATCGTATCTTTACGGTAGGGTTGGCGAGTGAACAAATGCCCTGCTTGGCGTGTTGATGATGTTGCTATTGTAAACGTGGATGGGAATTTTTGTTGATGTTGCTGGTGTAGCTGGGGTATAGGCGTGTTGCTGGTATATATGCTGGTGTCCCGTGTGTTGGGGTGTTGCTATTGCTGATGTTGATTGAGTAGTTACTCTACGGACGTGCTGCTCATCTTACGTCAATGGCCATGTTGCTGATGTTGCTGATGTTGCTGGTGTTGCTGGTGCACCCCTGCATTACTTAATATGTTCCGTTCCTCCAGCGAGCCCCGACAACACGTCGGCCGGCCGCTCCAGATAGCCGCTATGAATCTCGAGCCGAGCTAATGCGATTTTAAAAAGTCCACAATACTAATCTAGTTATGTCGTAAATTGAAAATTATGACACTCTTAACCTAAGAAATCCATTCACGATACGAAATTAGTCCTATCGATCTGCAAATGAGAAGCGTCTCTTCTCCATGAGGGGGGCTCAATCTTGCATTGAGGCGAATAAACGGCGAGAAGGCAATGTTTCACGGCTTGTATAGGAACAGTCAACCACTGCTTGGGTCGTCTAGATCTCACAGTGCCTGACAAAATATTGTAAACAGCTTCGTTTGGTTCTGATAGATGGTCTCACATCTACTAAGATAATCAATACGGGCCTTGAATCATGGATGATATAGGAACAAGATGGATGCAAACATTAATGCAAGAATTAATTGTCCTTTTTGTTCTTCAATATAATCTGTTGCCTTCACCACGCAACAACTTGCAAGAGGCTATTTCGTCTTTGAACACAATTCAAAACCAGGAATGTGAGAAGATTGTATATAGAATACAATCACTATGTAGATATGCAGCGCGTGGAAGGTGGTGGTGATGCTGGGTAGGGATGCTTAGTAAACATCTACATTACTGCCGGTACTCTCTACGATCTCTTTACGCACCCGGAGTCACTTCATTACATGCTGGTATCTCTAAATATCAATGTGACGTTTGGTTTAACAAAACATCCTCACAAAATGACATGACGCATTCCGAGTCTTATAACAGGTGGGGGCACGGGTGGCCCAGTCGTCTAAGGCTCGCGATTCGCTGTGCAGAGTTGCGTCCCTTGGGCACGCCGGAAACCTATGATTATGGGTTCGAATCCCGGTTCGCCCCGATTATGTTTCTAGGTTTGTCAGCACCATACCCGTGCTTGTGGGTTTCACCGAAGTGGTAAACGTCTGAGACCTGCATCACTTCGGGCTTTCCTCCCACATTAAGCTGACAAGCCGTGATATAACTGGAATACTGTTAAAAGCGGCGTAAAACCCAACTCACTCACTCACTCTTATGACATGTTATCATGCCAATGACTGACGCCCGACCGCAATTACACGGACTGACACAATGACACGTTGATACTATGACACTATGGTAAAACGGGATTGACAGGAACTATGACACAATGACACAATGATACTGGCATTACAACACTGTGGCACTATAAAACTCCAAAGCACAATGACACTTCGTTGTGACACTGTAATACAATTATTCACTTAGACAGTACAACACAATGACACAATAAGACGGACTGACACGATGACACTATAACACCATGACACAATAAGGCGGACTGACATCAAGACGCTTTAACACAATCGCATTAAGATGGTCTGACACTATGACACTATGACACTATAACACAATGGCACTAGTCCCTTACTGGCAATGTACCATTGACTGACACTATAACATTATGACACAATAAGACACAAATAATAGGTCATTATGGAATTGCCAGATGCTGCGGACAATATGACGCTTACATTCCAACACAATCAACTGACAGCATTCATTGAACATTTGACACTAATATTTCACCGCTAATATCTGCGGGGTGCATTTACAACAGGACACTAACACGTCGTCAATGTAGCAGTGACGGACGCTACTGACAATATAAAACTGACTTCCCCCTAAACACTTACAATTACTGTCGGTTTGTGTTAATTGTGACTATTCTATGAGATTTGAACCGCAATAACTTATCAATAAAACGTTCACAATGGTCGTTTAATTGACGGCCCGTTGCGCCGGTTATACTGGAATACTAACGGTGTGCAGGTCACCTCATCGATTGATGATATTCCAAACGTCAGGCACACACACACACACACACACACACACACACACACACACACACACACACACACACACACACACACACACACACACACACACACACACACACACACACACACACACACACACACACACACACACACACACACACACACACACACACACACACACACACACACACACACACAGACACACACAGACACACACACAGATACACACAGACACACACACACAGACACACACAGACACAGACACGCACACACACACACACACACACACACACACACACACACAGTCACTCACACACCACACACACACACACAGTCACTCACACACCACACACACACACACACACACACACACACAGAGTAGGAACAAGGTGACTACACAATGCGACGACAGCTAACGCTACACAAGCGTAAAACGTTCACGACACTGGACCTTAAAAGCTAGTTGAATAATACTCATTCTGAGGGTTATTATCAAGTATTGATCAGTATTGATAAGTATTGGTTATACACATTAACACAATTGTAAAACTATAAATATAATCAAACTAATAGAACATAACAGAGTAGAACAGAACAGAACAAAACGTTTAATATTCTCTGGTTGCTATTTTCGGCTTGTAACGAACAAGTGACAATGTACAATGTGAGATGTATGTGAATGTGACAATATGTACAATGTGAGATGTATGTGAATGTGACAATATGTACAATGTGAGATGTATGTGAATGTGACAATATGTACAAAGTGATATGTATGAGAATGTGACAATATGTACAATGTGAGATGTATGTGAATGTGACAATATGTACCATGTGAGATGTATGTGAATGTGACAATATGTACAATGTGAGATGTGTGTGAATGTGACAATATGTACAATGTGAGGTGTATGTGAATGTGACAATATGTACAATGTGAGATGTATGTGAATGTGACAATATGTACAATGTGAGATGTATGTGAATGTGACAATATGTACAATGTGAGATGTATGTGAATGTGACAATATGTACAATATGGGATGCCTGTGAATGTGACAATATGTACAATGTGAGATATATGTGAATGTGACAATATGTATAATGTAAGATGTATGTGAATGTGACAATATGTACAATGTGAGATGTATGTGAATGTGACAATATGTACAATGTGAGATGTATGTGAATGTGACAATATGTACAATGTGAGATGTATGTGAATGTGACAATATGTACAATGTGAGATGTATGTGAATGTGACAATATGTACAATGTGAGATGTATGTGAATGTGACAATATGTACAATGTGGGATGCCTGTGAATGTTACAATATGTACAAAGTGAGATGTATGTGAATGTGACAATATGTAAAATATGAGATGTATGTGAATGTGACAATATGTACAATGTGAGATGTATGTGAATGTGACAATATGTACAATGTGAAATGTATGAGAATGTGACAATATGTACAATGTGAGATGTATCTGAATGTGACAATATGTACAATGTGAGATGTATGTGAATGTGGCAATATGTTCAATGTGGGATGTATGTGAATGTGACAATATGTACAAAGTGAGATGTAGGTGAATGTGACAATATGTACAATATGAGATGTATGTGAATGTGACAATATGTACAATGTGAGATGTATGTGAATGTGACAATATGTACAATGTGAGATGTAGGTGAATGTGACAATATGTACAATGTGAGATGTATCTGAATGTGACAATATGTACAATGTGGCGGATACAAGATTAGCCGGAAGATTTAACATTGTCCATAATGAGATTGTTTCATAACAGATAGTTTGGTACATCTAAAAAGTACTTTAAGTTTTGACATGTTTGGTCTACTTTTGGAATGTACAATTATCTCTCTTAACTGAAATATTTACATTTATAAATATAGTGACTTTCATCACCTAAAAATGAAATATCCTCAATTTTGGACATAATTTACATTTCCTTTCATATATTAGCCTTTCAGTTGGCACTCCGGCACCCGATCGGGGACAATGGTAATTCCAGTAAGAGTGTACATAGGGATATTTGTATCATTGGGATACAGGCCTGGACGTGGGGCAATGTGGTGTTGGGAAACTACTGGTTTCTATAAGAATTAAGTTTTAATTTTTAATTACGTGATTGTGTGTGGCAAGATTTCTTTAAAATTCGGAAAACCCCAAAATATATGCCTGTCTGTGGTATAATGTTAAAAAACTTGTATACAGCCCTACCAAGGAGGAGGGTCTTTAGACGTGACATGCCCTCATATTAGCATTACATTCATACATCGTCATACAGCCCCACCAAATAGATAGCAGAGTTCCACTGCTTCGCGTTGCACTGGGTGTAAAGGGAAGACTTTGGTTATAAACGGAAATGTTTAATGTTATTTTGAGAACGACAATCGATCAGTTACAAGCCGACCAATGGGCGAGATGTGCAATTGAACTAACGGCGGGGTTACGTTTGAAGGAACAAGTTGATATCATGATGGGTGCACCTACGTACGTTTGCAGACATAGAGCTTGTGTCTGTAACCCTCTTTCCAAACTTCAAACCAATCGTCCGTCGATCAAAGCATGTGTCCGCCAGTCACTCTAGAGTCCATACATCCACTGTCCGTCAAAGCATGTTGTGTACTCACATGCAATGTTCTTAAAGACTCTGGTGTACTCACATGCAATGTTCTTAAAGACTCAGGAGTATTCACATCAAATGCCCGTCAAAGACTCTTGTGTACTCACATGCAATGTTCTTAAAGACTCAGGAGTATTCACATCAAATGCCCGTCAAAGACTCTTGTGTACTCACATGCAATGTTCTTAAAGACTCAGGAGTATTCACATCAAATGCCCGTCAAAGACTCTTGTGTACTCACATGCAATGTTCTTAAAGACTCAGGAGTATTCACATCAAATGCCCGTCAAAGACTCTTGTGTACTCACATGCAATGTTCTTAAAGACTCAGGAGTATTCACATCAAATGCTCGTCAAAGACTCTTGTGTACTAACATTCAATGTCCGTCAAATATTCTTGTATACTCAATCCAATGCCTGACAAAGACTCTTGTGTACTCACATTCAATGTCCGTCAAAGATTATTGTCTACTCAATCCAATGCCTGACAAAGATTCTTGTGTACTCACAGTCAATGCCAGCCAGCGTATTCTTGTGTACTCAATCCAATGTCCGTCAAAGACTCTTATGTACTAACAACCAATGTACGTCAAAGACTCTGGTGTACTTACAGTCAATGACCGTCAAAGATTCTTGTGTACTCACAGTCAATGCCAGCCAAAGATTCTTGTGTACCCAGTCAATGCCAGCCAGCGATACTTGCGTACTCAATCCAATGTCCGTCAGAGACTCACGAGTATTCACATCCAATGTCCGTCAAAGACTGGGGTACTTACATCAAATGTCCGTCAAAGAATCTTGTGTACTAACATTCAATGTCCGTCAAAGACTCTGGTGAACTCACAGTCCATACCAGCCAAAGATTATTGTGTACTCACAGTCAATGCCAGCCAAAGATTATTGTGTACTCACATCCAATGTCCGTCAAAGACTACGAGGGTATACTCCGTCAATCATTCATCACATACCTTTTACTATGTTTCTTTGGGAGGACGTACATCAAGCCTCCTCGACCACTATCCCTACCTGCTACAGAGAGGATCGATACTGTATTGACAGTAGATCCCGTTATTAGGTGTAAGTGATCACTGAGATGCTACTATCAAGTACACCATGGACTAGGGTGAGGGTTGGTGGAGAGGCTCAAACTTGAAAGGATCGCAGTAGACGTCGAGTGGAAGTAGGATTGAGACGTATCTGAAGCAGCCGTGTTAAGCCTCTTACCCCATGTTACTAACCCGATAGGCCAGTATACAGATGATAATCCAATATTGATGCTGGATCTTTCTGACGTGTACAGAAACGGAGTACTAACCTGTCTGGCTGGAGTGAACAAGGAGAGAATTCTGCAGGGTAGAGAGGTAAACTCGTGGACAGTACCCGGGCCTTGCAAGCCTGCTCAGACAAGTAGGGAACGAGCTATTTGATTATCACATGGTGTGGTCATTTGATGGTGATCCTGCCCAAGCGGTAGCCTGTGGTCATCGTGTTGGGTTGTATTGATCACCTGAGCGTTGTGGCGCCAGTCTCCAATACGACGAACCTGCGGTCAATTTGGACTATCCCTTCACGAGGTTCACTTTGGCAATAGGCCTCGCACGCCACCCCGGGTCCCCTGTGAAATAACAATACAATTTGCAAGTATGTGTTATAGGTCTCCAGTGGGAGCAGTCTAAGCTCTCTGTATCTACACAATCCTTCACAACAGGGATATTGATACACCAAGAGGCTGATGTCTTGGCTGATATTGAACTAACGTGATAGGATAGGGGCTTTCTGGTGAAGATTCTAATTTACTCTCTGTTAATTACACATCCTGACTGAAAGCTTGTGGCCACGTCGTATAAACTCAGGGTGTTTTCTGTTCACCAAAGCTGATGCTTCAGCTCCAGCCGGGAGAACCTCCATCCCCCGAAGCAATGCTTTTGACACACGTTGGGACACAAAAGGGCAGGACGGTTCAGGGGTAGAGGGGGTGGGGGAACTGCGAGGGGGAGTCAGAGGAACGTACGTGATGCTGCAACTATTCGTTAACGATGGGAGGAAGTGGGATGGGGGAGAAAAAAAAAGTTTGAGCATGGGAAAAGAGCCCGCGACGTGATATTGCACATGGTCGTTAGTGTGAAGCCATGGAGGGTAGATTGCCTTAGTTTAAGTACGGGGAGATAGCGGGCGTGATGCTGCAATTGCTAGGTACAGATCTCAGAGGAAATGGAAAGGATCGGTGAGTTGAAACTACGTGAACACAGGTCAAGCTGAAATACATGAGAAAATTGTACCCCAAGAAATGGCATTTCAAAGGAAAATTATATAGTTCCACCTTAGAGTGGAATGGGAATAATTACGATGCATGTATTGCCGCGGTGAAAGATCCTGGGCAGTTAAAGGAATGATTGGTCATGTATAACTGACAGAAATATTGTAAGCAGATGGTGTAGGAATATGTTTGTTGTTATGTGGAGGACCAGCAGTCGTGCCTGTCAGAGATCACATTCACTAGTAGGGCCAAGCGGGTATCATTGGAGGGAGTATACAATATATATAGAAATGATGAGGATGACATCTACTGTAAGAGATGGTATTTATGGTAACGACAATGTGCTCGTGATACCTGCAGGAAAAGACGTGGTAAAGGCACGATACAAGGCATGGTAAATTATCGATACAAGATAAAACACGTAAATTATCTATACAAGATCAGATAAAGGATCGATACTAGATAAGACAAAGTAAATCATCGAGTAAGTCAAGGTAAATTACGATACAAGAAAAGATAAAGTATTGATAAAAGATCAGACAAGGTAAAGTATCGATACAACACAAGGTAAAGTATTGATACAAGATAAGACAAAACAAGATAAATTATCGATACAAGACAAGATAAAGTATTGATACAAGATAAGACAAGGTAAAGTATCGATACAAGACATGGCACGGTAACGTGTTTATATTTTTATATTCCTGGCCATAAAGTTTCATATGGTTCTAGGGGGCACGGGTGGCCCAGTCTAAGGCGCCGCAATTTGCTGTACAGAGTTGCGTCCCTTGGGCACGCCAGAAACCTATGATTGTAGGTTCGAATCCTGGTTCTCCCCAATTATGTTTCTAGGTTTGTCAGCACCATACCCGTGCTCGTGGGTTTCACCGAAATGGTAAACGTCTGAGACCTGCATCACTTCGGGCTTTCCTCCCACATTAAGCTGACACGCCGTGATATAACTGGAATACTGTTAAAAGCTGCGTTAAACCCAACTCACTCACTCACCCATATGGTTCTAACAATATGTATGACATTACGGCGATAAGGAATATCACTTACTGTAATGGCAAATATGTCAAAGTGCTCTTTCCAAGAAATATTCATTTTGATTAACATCATCACTGAGTTTGGATCACGCAGTTGCAATACAAGCAAGGGTCGGCAGTCACGTGACAGCGAATGACTACATATAGAAGCGTGTGAAGTTCATCACCAGCACGAACCGAGAGGATAACAAGTAATTTAAAACGTATTGTGATCCAGTTTGAGATGCACACACTGCCAAATAAAGACAATAAACGCTTTTATTCAGATAGTTAGAGGTGAAACCACCAAAGTATTTATGTAACTATTATATTTTGAGATTATATTATGCAATACGCGTCAGTTTTGAGGACATCTTCTTATATATATTTGCTTGCCTTTTCCATGGTGTGGAGCACAGAAAACACCAACGATTTCATTTTCCTGTACCAACACCATCTCTACCAAGTTGTTCAATTATAAGAACGTATCGCCGAACCTGGACTTGGCAGCTCATGATGTAAAATCCATAACCTGTAACTGCCATGACTCATCCTACTTCTACCAACCTGTTGGTCATATAATCACAGATGACTTTTCTTCGTCGGTTATTAAAAAAAGGCCCAAACTGTCGTGAAGTTTGCAACTAGTTGGGATCACAACTAAACATCATTATGGATGCTGTGGAAGCGTATGCCAAACAACGGGCTATAGAGTTGAATGTGTTGAGAGTTTGTCAGGGTGTGTTAAGTCAGTGCGTGACGTTGTCAGTTGTAGAATGCACGAGCTTGAAACGAGAAAACAGAATTGGAATGAACCCATTCTGTCCAAGCCAGCTGTCATCCAAAGTCTGACTGCTCTACATTTTGTATTTGTTGCCACAGATAAGGCCTCAAATAACATAACCCTTACATGTAAACATAACTACAATACATGCTTGATGAAAGAACTTGGTATAAGTGACCTATCAAATAACGACACATACCATGACAGTATGTTAACTGAGGAAGTAATCTGCCCAAACCATGCATCAATACTTTTGCTTTGACTCAAAAAACAGAAAGCATGCCATTCTTCGTTTGGACTGGAGTTCAAAGTTCTATAAACAATCCATACAAAGAGATATACATTGCTGGGACAAACAAATGCACAACCAAAGCCCTGTCTCAGACAAACTATAATCCTTAAAATGACCTTCTTCATATTCACAGAAATGATATGACTCAAGTGGAATTAATACCATGTAGATTCTAAGAAAACTTCCTAGGATTTGCTTGACATTTTGCAATCTCAGAAAAGAGCCAACTTCAATTCTGTACTTTGTACACCACTGTCTCATATACCAAATTTAAATTTATTCAATTCCTCGATCCATGTGGAATTTGTCTTTAAACTTAACATAGTTATAGTTACATCTATCATCAAAAGTTCAGGATAATCTGAAGTGTACCGGGGAATCAATGTGCAGGACTTCCTCATAGATAACATCTATGTTAAACTTGGGATTGGGCACAGGAAAGAAGTGGACAAACCCGTGCGCACCAATTGTGTCCCCTCCTTGTTGATCTGTTTTTTCTTGCGTACGAGTCAGGATTTCTGCTCGGATTGGTAAACTCAAACCAAGACCTTCAGATACATAGATGATCTAATATCGTTCAATAATCGTCAAATGACCAATTCCCTTCCACAAGACTGTAAGGCGAAAGAGGGATGACTTCAACGTTCCAATAGTCAACTTTCTTTTTATATCGAGCAATATTCCTGCAGCTCCAGCCTTTAGTGTCCGAATTTCACAACTTTTGACGTACAATCGAGCATGCTGAATTCGACGAAAATTTCAAAGAACGTTATACGACTCTAGCTTTAAAGTTGTTTGATCAGGACAACAGCATTCAAGGACTTATAGAAAGCTTTCATAACATTTTTTCGTAGACACGTGAAAGACTTTGCCAAATGTGACGTATCAGTGAAAAAAATGTTGTCTGATGTCAATACATATTATGATTACATATCTCTATGTATGTTCCCGTGTCTATACAGGTGAATAATTGACTTGGCTTTGCATGTGTGATGGATGCAGGATACGCTCACCTTTACGCGAACATCTGGTACGATCTACCTTCTACTGGTTCATAAACACATGCTTATGATACAGACGAAATCGAACAATGGACTCAAAGATTGTATGACTATATATTTTTGTCTGTATTTTTTTAATTTACAATAGGTTAAACAGCGACGTCTTCCCCAACTCACTTATTTTCAAGGTGTCTGTTAACACGTGCCTGCAATGCGAGGATGTTGTATAATGTACAGTCCCCTAAGCAAACAGCACAGTTTTGGACATGAACCTACAGAATGATATGAGCATGATAAACAAATGAATAGGTTACACATTTTAAACACGATTGCGCTGACAGTAACAGCGACAAATACAGTCAACGATCACGTATCTGCAGATTTCATGACACACATCAAAACAACAAAAGACACACACTGACACACACTGACACATATATATATATATACGTACATACACGCAGGCAAACACACACATGCATAATTATACATAAACACATACATATACATACATACACACAATTCATACCACACACAGACACACGCACATCACCGCATATATATACACATGCACGCATGCACATGCACACGCACACGCACGCACGCACGCACACACACACACACACAGACATACATACATACATACATACATACATACATACATACATACATACATACATACATACATACATACATACATACATACATACATACATACATACATACTGTAGATGGTCATTTTCTCCACTGATGGTGATGCCAAAGGTGACAAATGACATCAGCATGTATACCTCCTTTGTCAATATGGACGACATCCACTTCGTTATCAAGCGATACCCTGCCATTTGACTATGAATATCAAATGTCTGGCTTACATCGATCAATTCTTTTTAGAGTCTTTTGACATTTCTATCCCTGGATTTCCTTTTGTATCCACCTTTCAAAATATTCTGTGTCTCCTTAAATAGCCCCGTGCGAGGATGCACTGGGAAGGTGGCGGAGTACATCTTGGTGATGATAAAACAGAGTACAGCCAGGCAGAGAACACAGGGAGGTCAAGTAATACGTTACAGTTATTGTATACATACGTTGTGTGGAAGATTTGTTTGTTAAAATTAGTCCTTCATGCGTTTATGTTTGTTAGTTTAATGTTTAACGCCGCGCTCAGCAATATTCCAGCTATATGACGGGGGTCTGTAAATAATCGAGTCTGGACCAGACAATCCAGTGATTAAAAACATGAGCATCGATCC